TTTATTGCTGCCTCACCTGGTGAAGGGGAGGAACCTGCAACAGAGGACGGCATATTGGTCTTTTCTCAGTATATCCAATGCGTTCGAGCACATATACAAACATTAGCCTTTACAATGTTTTGAATTCAGGATTCATAGTTTAGCATGAACTCGTGCTTATGAGACTCTCCTGAGAGCGTAGGGCCCGTCAGCCTTAGCGGCAGTTCGGACAATATAGCCCTACCGAGATTATCTCCCCGATCACGTCCACTCTCCTCCACCGTCCCCGTCGTACAGCATTTCGGACTGGTTCCAATTTAAATGATGTGCGGCAGCTCTGAGGAAAAATGTCGATGTAGGAAAGAAGAGTTTGCCGAAATCCGTTTGTCTGAGGTCAGCAGTGCCAATCACTGAGCGTAGGCGCAATCCATATTACAACCAGACGGAGCCGACGGCAATAGCAGCAGATGCGCTCCGACTTTCCCCAACACTGTCTGTTCCCAACTCTACCCATTCACAAGAGGAAAGCAAGCAAAAGACCAGTATTGCTGATGAAGTAGCGCCAGACCTTTGAAGAAGCAATGTGCTGAATTACTACTACGAGCTCAAATTCCCAAACATTACTGCAAACCCTTGAAGTCATATCAGTCGTAGGTGCAACCTTTAAAGGCACTTCGCATCCTTGACAATCAATCTATTAAAGACAGAAATCTCCCAAAGCAGCCTCAACTACAAGAAGAATGTGCGTAAGCAACATCCATAGTTAGATGGCCACTTTGGTAATTCCTAGACAGACAACAAAGTCAAATACTCGCAGTTTTCGCAAAGTCACTAGAAAAGATTCGATCACAAGTTTTCATCTTATTACACCCAATTCCGCTTGAAGCTTTGCAAGAGCTCCAAGAACAGATGAACGTTTCCAGACTTTTCCACTTATTCAGCTCTAGGAACTCTTACAGCGATGAGACCAACATTTGTCACTTGAACTTAGGTTAGTAGATGGGCTGGCCTAACGCCCGTAAATCAGAGGAAATCGAAGCAACCATAAAGACCGCCATTCAAATGGTGGGATAACAATAAGTGCTAGACTAGGCTATCTCGATACAGTATCTCACCTAACTTTCCAACAGACTAAACTCTATTAAAAGCAAACTTTCTTACACTGATCATTCGATCATTCCGATTTGGATTGGTTTGCTAGGGATAAATTCTACCCTCCTAACCTTGACACATTCAGGAGCCTATGCAACAGTTAGTGTCGCTCAGATGGATCTAGCACTCAACATCTTAACAACCAGTTTTACTCCTTCGCAACCGATTCCGTAGTAGACCGATTGCAGAGCAGGCATTGAAGGAAAGGCAAGAATCAGCCATGTCTAGGCCACCCCCTCCAACCACGCTTCTTAATTGAGACACTTCAACTCTCACTCCCCCATTCCCATCAAAGCCATTGTTCTGACATCTGACTGTGAGGGCTGAGGGACAAGTTTATTAGGAATCAGTTCCAACTAGAGTTCCTACGACGGAGCATACCAAGAATTTATCGCCATTGAAGAACCGGTCTAAGTGAGAAAAAAAACGTTTTAGAGTAATTCTCATAGTCAGAATTCACAAATAATGGTTTTTAAGAGACCAACTAAAATTATAAGCTCCAGGGATAACATTACCGGCGTGACTTAGGAACGCCGAGAATATTATTCTCTGAAGCTTTCGATGAAGAACATTTGTGGACATCTACTCGAGTAAAATGATAAAATTTGAAGAACCTGGAGTCATTGGATCCCCTCGAGTACAATAATTAACTAAACCACTGATTAATCCCAGAAAAAACGCTTACTTGCAAAGGAGCGTTCCATCCTTGAGCAGATTCAAGAAATTATCGCGATCTCCGGAGGTGTTGATGTTTTCCTTCGACAACTCTTTGATCCACTTGAGTAGCATCTCACCTTCCACCTCATTGAATTTCGAATCTTGCTGAAACACAGCTTTATAAGGAACTGCCGGAACAAATAACAAAGTTGAATACTTGGGTAAATATACCTTTTGTCGGACGGCAAATCCAAGTCCTCCGGCGGTAGTTCGGCTGGCCATGGCTGAGAGAATGAGATAGTCGGATCTGACATTGGCAGTTCTTTTATCCCCTTCACGCCTATTGGTTGTCGCCAGTCCAAACCACGCCCCCGAAACGGCTACCGATGGGTTTACACCTTCACGTCCCCGCCCTTCTTACTTTAACAATAACGGGGCACGCCTGTGGTGATTCATAACAAACTGACGGGCGAGGGACAAAAGCGCATTCGGGCGGGGGAGACAACGGGAGAAGAACAGCTGATGAGGAAGAATTCTGATGAAAACAGACGCTCTGCGAAAATAACATTTAAAAATATTCGAATAGTTGGAAAAGCTTAAAAATAGTTGTCCCCCTTATGAGTCATCCTTTCATCAACATCGAAAGTTCATCCCAAGGCAAAATGATGTTTTATTTTTGAAGTTCAAGACAACTTGTAAGTCAGCCAGCATCCATGCATCATGAATAGAAACGGCCCACCGATTAGATTTCTGAATGGTAAGATCTGAACTCCGCGTTTCGATTCCGATTTCCGATTCCAACCAATTCCGATTTTCATAAGAGAAGCTAATCATTGCATTAATCTTATTCCACATACGATATATTGTAACTTTTTGTTCCAAAATCGAAGACGGTTACATTAGCACTCACAGCATCATATTAAAAAGATAAACATTGAGTGAATACTAGTTTATGAACAGTACCCATCGAATCAGCCAATATTGGTCCAGGCGTGGTCACTTATTCATAGGAATCGGATCAGTGTGAGTATTAGTTCTTTTCGAATTTACTCTTCCTGATGTCATTCGATCCGTTTGATAGGCTAGCAAACAGTTGCCTTAAAAGGCCTGATAATCCATCTACTAATCCACCCTTTCTCGATCTTTGTGTTCGCTCGAGATAGTTGACATCAGTGGCAACCAAGACAACAGGTAGACAATTTCCATTTAACAATTTTTTAGGGTCAACTAGTTGGCCCAAAAGAAGAAAGTGGTCAGTCAAAAGAGAATATTCCGACAGGAGCGTGAGCAAATAAATCATCGCTTCAAAAAGTCGCAAAGTTGTACGATAATAAGCAAAAATTGAAGCTAAAGTAAGAAGAGAGATAAAGAAAGGGGAGTATGAAAGAAGAGGGCTGTGCTTATTCCAAGAAGATGTTTCGCAACTTCTTTCTTGAAAATTGATGAGTCGTTCCGCTTTTAGCGTATCCTATGACTCGATCATGAACAGATGTGCAAGTCGCTCTTCTACGACCGCTTCTATTTCTTTTCAAGAACGAGGTTGAAGGTTGCCCACGATGGACTTCTCGTAGGATATTTTTTTTCGAAAATAGGTCAGGAATCATCAGCTCAATCCTTTTGAACTTTGCATAGCACTCATCCGAACTGTTTGGAGCTCTGAGACCAGTTTCAATTTTTCCGTCTCTTTTCCTCTATTTTCTTTGAATCAGATGTGCGCCCGGATCACTTCCACGTTCTTAACCGAGGCGCCCTTCACCAAGCTAATGACAGCTGCTGACGAAAATGAATTAGCTGGGTCAGTTGCTGAATGACACAGGTGACCATATTGTTCGATCGAAGCCATTCCTGAGCCCCATTGAATCCGAACTGCTAGCTAGCTTGGAAAAAGTGTTCCTGTTTCCATAACCATATGGTATATTCAGGTTCAGCCANTCCATCTACTAATCCACCCTTTCTCGATCTTTGTGATCGCTCGAGATAGTTGACATCACTGGCAACCAAGACAACAGGTAGACAATCTCCATTCAACAATTTTTTAGGGTCAATTAGTTAGCCTTAAAAGAAGAAAGTGGTCATTCAAAAGAGAATATACCGACAGGAGCGTGAGAAAATAAATTATCGCTTCAAAAAGTCGCAAAGTTGTATGATAATAAGCAAAAATTGAAGCTAAAGTAAGAAGAGTTGTGAAGTTAACATAAAGAAAGGGGAATTTGAAAGAAGAGGGCTGTGCTTATTCCAAGAAGATATGTTTCGCAATTTCTTTCTCGAAAATTGATGAGTCGTTCCGCTTTTAGCGTATCGTATGACTCGATCATGAACAGATGTGCAAGTCGCTTTTCTACGACCGCTTCTATTTCATTTTAAGAACGAGGTTGAAGGTTGCCCACTATGGACTTCTCGTAGNCGCATTTGTTTCTCTAACTGGAAATTCGACCCAATCACTAAACCCTTCGAAACAGCAAAAATCACAAGTGCACGTGTTTTCTTCAGGCATCCATCGTGTGGGCCGCCTACGCCTCACAGCAAATGACGACATACGATGTCTCATCAATTTGTTTACCTCGAAGGGTTTATGCGTGCTTACAATTGAAATAGAACTTGCTTTCCACTTCCCACCTCCACCACACCACATCTAGACCTAGCAAGAATTGAAGATTAGGGTTTACTTGCGGGTTTCAAACAAAAAATAACTGAGGTGGTTACAAGTAAGGCGGGGGCCACGAGGAAGAGGAAAAAAGCAGTGAGTTGCACATCGACTCTGACCAATAAGGTGTTGTCTGGGCACAAACGCATCCAAAACGCAACTTCCACACAAAATCAGGTCTTTCCGGATCAGCTCAATATAAATGACTCCTTTTCTCTCCCTCTCAACAACTACAACTCGTGAAAAGAGGCTATAGCAGACACCTCATCCCAAAATTAATATACCTGGAAGGATTTATGCCCCTTCCATTACTGTATTTGATGCATTGTACCGTACTGTACTGTACTGAACTGTACTGAACTGAATTAAAAGACGGAGTTAAAGCTAAATTAAGAAGTTAGTAGGAAAAGGATAAATAATAATAGCAACGCCCGGACTAAGAATAATGAGGAAAGCCGCTAACCTGAATTAGTCGTCCATCAATATCCTCCGGGGACCTTTTTTTCTTAACCTTTTTACGGTACAAAAAAATAGAAAGAAGCCAAGCCTTTTCAACAACCCTCCAAAATCGATTGCCCATTAGCATCTGAGGAACAAATACTTAAACTAAATTCATTGAAACTTGATCTGTCGATCTAAACCGAAACCATCAGAATAATAATCTTTTGGTGTTTAGGAAACTTCTACAAAGTGACTAAGAGGTTCCACTCACTACCAATTGACGGCACTACACAAAAACCCACACATGGGGTATTGAACTCTCTCGCATTGTGCCTTTCGACCGAGAATGTCTTCCAGTAGGAATAATCCTATCGTTAATTACTTTAATAGTTTCATAACTGACTGACGCTGACTACTCACCTCGCTCCATAACTGCATCTTAATTCCTGTAGAAGATTCAGAAAAAGGTTTTATGCGCTGAACTTGCACATCTCCTCGCTAGAACCTTCCCATTCGTCTACTGAATTCCTCCAGTTTCGTCAAATTTCTGATTGTGTACTCGATCTGAAACATATCGTCAATGAAAATAAGGTTGCAGGTATGTATATTTCTTCCAATTTTTTTATTATTCAAATACTAAGGTCATTAATCCATTTTTTCTCGATAAGTGTAGTTACGGATGCTCTATTTATGGTTCATGTTTTCATCAATCCATTGCGCAATATGCATGTGTTGCCGAAAGCCAAACGGGAAGGCATGCGAGAAGTCAAAGCAAACTACCACTTATCTTTTTCATTCTACTCGATTTTTTGAAGAGTATAATTTCTCTAAACGAGCGTCTGAGAGCACTTGCAAAAAAGAGTTCGCCTGCCAGAATTCCCTAAATTATGGGGAAGAGAAATTTGCAGATTACAGTATGCTTGTGAGATTTTGAACATCCAAGACAACTGCTGTTCAATCTAACCAACTTTTTCTTATTAGACTGCGATTATTAAATGCTAACCCCTAAGAAAGCAAGATTTCCGCAAAAATTAGACAC